ACCCCCCTAATAACAATGAAGCCCAACAGGCCATGCAAACTCTCTTAAATTTTGTCGGGGCAGCTACTCCTGGAAATAAACCCCAAACAACCTGATTAGTGTAATAACACACATCGGACAGAACACAACACAGCAATCCTGCTATCCAAAGGCCACAATAACCTGGTCCAAGGAAAAAATCAGCTTAATAACTAGCTGTAAAAGTGTTGACGAATAACCTTCAACATTTTACTCGCAACCGCCGCAATGGCCGAATTTCCGGAAAAAAAGAGGCCCGTGAGCTTCAAGGAATATCTTAAAGGACAACGGTCCACTCCTGACCCCAATGCCCTTTTTATCACCAAGAGCTTTCTTCGTCTCAAAAGCTTCGTTGATGGAAAGGTTGCCGAACTTGGCAAGGAGAGAATTTTTATGCTGTTTTATTACGAACCAGCCGAAAACCGCACCTACATCGCACCCTACCTATACCTATCTGGTAATAGTACACGCATTATGACTCACGACGGCCTCATGTCGATGAGCATGTTATCCATACACTCCTACGAAAACAATCAAGTTTTTACTGACTACGTCGGACGAGCATTAACCGTTGCTGACCGAATTGTTTTTGTTGAAAAGACCAATCAAATTGACAACAGATGCTTTGCAATACTTCATGACGGCTTCGAGAGCCGTTTTTGCACGGCACACTTAAACAATGACAATCAGCTTGATGACCTCAAATTTATACTAGCTGGTGGTCATTCTAACGACATGACGATCTCGAGCAAGTTGCAAACAAAAAATAAACTAATAGACGCTGCTGAACGCGAAGGTATCATTGATTCAAGTAGGGCAGGTCAACTCAGATCAAACTTACCCTACAAACCTGACTTTACAAATCAGGAAATTTTCGAGCTTAAAAAACGACATACCCCCATCACCAAGGTCGTGTTGCACGAACACGCCCCGTTGATCAACCACCCGTCAGCGGAAGCCACTGCGATCAAAGTTGAGAGCACTGGTGCAAAAAGCTCGAAAGTCCCAATCCACCTCCCACCCGTTAACGTGAGCTATTTAAACCATTACTACCTAGAAAGACTCAAGCTTGCAGAGGAAAGGGAGAAATTTATCCCCAATCTTGGATACACCGCACAATTTGATGACACAAAACCTTTCACCTCCGTATTCCCCCACCACTCCAACAAGGATGAGGTGACTTTTTGGTGGTCAATCAGAGAGCGTCTCAACTTCATGAGCCCAACTCGTAACAATCTGCAATTGAAGAAAACAATTACGCGCATTCTAGGATCGCAACTCTTCGAATCTTTTTTGCGAGCCGTGCCTCTCAAACGGAAGAACCACTTTGATGAAGCTTTATATATTGAAAAAATTGCTGAAAACGCTAACAAAAGGCTTCACAAGTCATTGGCCACTTTGCTCAATATAACTGACCGCGCTGAAACCTACTGGCCCGACAATTTTGCTGAAATCTTCATCAAGAGTCAAGTCCTGAAAAAACTTGAAAAGATGTGGAGCAGCGCAAAAGCTGGTCAAACTCTCGCGTCATTGCATGAGTTCGCCATTTACATGATCGGCCCTGTTGTTAGAATGGTCAGCCACTACTTGCATACCGAGCTTCGCGAAATGAAAGATCGACTCGACAGCAAATGCCCCCAACCAGGCGACCGTTACCTTTTCATACTTGGCACCAACGATCCTATCAAAATGGAAGAATTCGTCCAGGCCTACTGGCAAGATGTGGAATGCCTAGCGAATGATTATACCAAGTATGATCAGAGTCAAAACCACGAGTTCCTTCACTTTGAAGACCTTCTCCACAGTCACCTCGGGATCCCTCATGTTCTGCGAGACATGTATGTCTGGCTAAAAACGAATACACAAACCTTTTTAGGAAATCTCTCAGTCATGAGAATCACCGGTGGTGCTGAGACCTACGACTATAACACTATCGGCAATATCGCCTACACCTTCCTAAATTTTATCATCCCAGTTACGATAGTAACAGCGGTATTACGAATATCAGTATGGTATCGAAAAGCATTGCACGCATGTTCAAAATTGGAATAATCCGGTCTGATACACCGGAGATGAATTTTATTTGATGAATGCAGTTGTGAATTATGTGTAATTAAACTGAAACGGGATATGCACCCGGAAATAGCAATTAATATTGCGCCGGGGATCACCGTAAGCAGTTAAGTTTGTGCGGCTTGGCGCTGGCCGGTGGTTTCCCGCCTGCATGATGCAGGCCGGCCGTTAATATGAACATGTGATAATGATATTCAGCAGTCATAATCATGAAATGTGATTATGAGAATGCGATTATGAAAATGGCAGGTTCTGTTGGGAGGGAGGGATCGGGTCGCGAATCGTGGTCTAGAGCTGAGGAGGCGATTGTTGGCGCCATGTCTTTGTTCTCAAGCGGTCTTTATTGGATTAATTATTACTGCATCCGGAAGGTTATTAAACTCATACTCACCTGAATCTGCTCACGCGAATACTGCCCCTGAACTTGATTTTACCAATTTGGATTTGTTTGTCCGTAGGTATCACAGTGTTACCTTCCCCTGCTCAGCATCTTTTCGATCTATCGACTTGCGTCGATTTGAAGGATATCAGTATGGTACGATCAGTATGGCATGGATGCAACCGTCCATACTATAATATCAAAATAGTATATACGGTAATTATACGGTAAAATAATACCAAAATTTATTATACAGTAGCGTATAATTTCCAACCCTACCTCAAATATTTACGTGTCTACTAGCCAATTGTCGTTGCTATCGTAATTTTTCACACTCCCGACTCCCGAAATTGACGTGGCTATATGTTACACAAAGCAGTTGCAAAAAGTTTCTATAATGTTAACCCGTACCCTTTCAATTATATATTGAAAAAAATGAAGCTATTTTGCTACTTTTAAATCTTATTACTAAATTTTCAATTGGTTTACATTTTAGTTAAAGCATATACTCCAACACCTCGTTATGTGCATAGCTCCACACTAATAGGCAATAAACTTTATATATTAAGTGTTAGTAATCCTACTAGTGCTAATCCTAATAATTATATATTTTCACCCACAAAAGATTTTATTTATCTTGATTATCTCCGCTGCATTTAAAACAACGAATATTCCATGGATAGATCTTTGTAATGTTGTTGGTACATCTAAACATGATTCGGCATCAGTTTCCACCGGCGGTCCAAACAAGGACATTATTTTTTTATGTGGTGGCGCATTCGAAAATAATAGTCATGGCATTCCTTAAATTTACACATTCGATGCTATAAAAAATGTGTGGAATACCCCCACTATACAGGGGATACAACTAGTGATGTGCCGTTTATATGATAACCCAATTTTTTTCGCGTACAGTACGTACAGTACGTACAGTACGTACAGTACATACAGTAAATATAGTAAATAATTAGAAATAGATCTGCATTATTACTACGGCAAAATCTTTAATACCAGGAACGGAGTGATGAATATCACAAAGTGTATGGCTTATTCGAGAAAGAAATTATGTGCGTACCCAAAATCTAATACCCGATTGGTCGG